TTCCCTACAGGCAGGAGACTATTAAACAGTAGCCATATAAGCACAGAGGAAATACCACATGTAAAGAATTGGCGAATCTCAATACTCCTAAAATGTCTACCTACGTTGTTCAGCTTACTCACCAAGGTGATTTTCAGGTTGAAAAGACAACAGCCATGCATGCCTCACTGAAGATCCACCACAGTCTATGTGACCAGAGACCCTCACATGGAAAAAGTAGGTGAAAAAGCCCCTATTAACTATCATCCTGATTGAAGAAAGGTGTTAATAAAAGGAGTCAAAGGAACACCTGTGATAAAGAGAAGTGGACAAACGCTAGACCCAGAGAGGAGGGAGACAGGATAAGACTCAATTGACTGTGGAAAGGTGAGGGAGAAGAGGCGAGGATGACATCCAGAGTCTGGCTGGGCAACTGGATGGATGGATGTGCCTTTCCCGGAGGCATGGAACATGAAAATTCCATACACAGCGGGAAGGCCAACTGGGCTGGTGAAAAAGACCTGCGAGTCATCCAAAGAGATGGCAACTCAAAGCTTGATTTTACTTAGGGAGCTGGTGGTACGGGAATGTAGAAATCTAAGAAAAGCCAACATTTTGGAAGAGCTTATGAAAGAGACTGAAGTGGCCAGGAAGAATGGCAAACCAGGAAGTGTGGTGTTAGAGTAGCCAAGACAAGAAGGTCACATGCCCTAGGATGGTCAACTACTGGAAGGATAAAGTAACAGATGACAACAAGCTGGTCACTGGTGGTCGTGGTTACAGTGCTTTCGGTGGAGCAGTGGGATGGAAGCCGTTACGATAAGGCAATGAGTTCACCGGAGGTGAGAAGACGAAGGTGAAAAAAGACTGACCCAAGGAGCTTGGATCTGAAGAGGATGAGAGAGAGGACACATGTTCAACGTGGATGTGAAGTTAAGGGATAATTTTCTACTTTTTAATTTAAGAGGGGGAAACATGAATATGTTTAAATGCTGATGAGAAGGAACAAGTATGGAGAAAGAGGTAAAGGAAACTGTAGAGAAAGGGGATAATGGGTAGAATGATCTCAAGAGGGCAGAAGAGAGTGGTGGATGTCACATGCAGTGGCAGCAGGATAGCTTACACAGAAACAGGGATTTCTCTTTCACTGTAACAGGAGAGAATGAAGATGGGAGAGGTGCAACTGCAGGTAAGTCAGAGGGTGTGGAGCCGAGAGTTCTGCAAGATCCTGGACAATAGTTTTAATTTCCTCTGTAAAACAGGAGGCATAGTCAACTGCTCACAGAAAGAGGTAGGTGAGATTTAGAAGATCCCAAGAGAGAAAAGGCAGTTTTAACAAACCTAACTGGGACAATTTTATTCTCCTGGTCAGAGAAGTGCTTACCCAGTATGGCCTTTGGAGTTAAGAGACCTGGATTCCTGGTTCAGACACTCATTTTCTATATTATTCTTTATTACTTTACCTGAGTTTCATTTTCTTCATATCTAAAAAAGAAACCATTCATAACCCCACAGGCATTTAAAAAACGGCAGCTCCTTCTCCCCTGCCCTCCTTTTCCTTTTTTTTTTTTTTACACATTAAAAAAAATTATTTATTTAATTTATTTATTTTTGGCTGTGTTGGATCTTCGTTGCTGTGCGCCGTCTTTCTCTAGTTGTGGCGCGCCGTCTTTCTCTAGTTGCGGCAAGCGGGAGCTACTCTTCATTGCGGTGCGCGGGCTTCCCAGTGCAGTGGCCTTTCTTGTTTCGGAGCACGGGCTCTAGGCGCATGGGCTTCAGTAGTTATGACACGTGGGCTCAGTAGCTGTGGCTCGCAGGCTCTACAGTGCAGGCTCAGTAGTTGTGGTACACGGGCTTAGTTGCTCCGTGGCATGTAGGATCTTCCCGGACCAGGGCTCGCACTCATGTCCCCTGTGTTGGCAGGTGGATTCTTAACCACTGCACCACCAGGGAAGCCCCTGCCCTCCTTTTCTTTATCTCATCTTCCAGTTCCATCCAGTCAACAGTTTTCATCCATTCAGTAAATATTGATTGTGCCCCTGTTGTGTGCCAGGCTCTGCACTGAGGTCAGGTGACAAAAAAGAAAAGTTCTCTGGCCTCACGGAGCTTAGTCTGATGGGTAGTAGGCAGTTGAGAGGTAAACATGAAAATATATAATCCTAACTGGAACAGGGCACATGGGAAGATACTGAGATGACAAAAAATGGTCTGCGTCATATTAGGGTGATGCTACATGGTTTTACATCTGCCAAAACTCACCTGTGCATTTCACTGTATGTAAATTATGCCTCAGTTTTTTTAAGAAAATGATCTCAAATTGTGTTCATTGCTATGAAAAAAGAATAAAGGATGCTATACTAAGATACTGAGTAAAGTATCTGGGAAGGCTTCTCTGAGGAACTGACATTAATATAAGACCTGCAAAAGGAGGAGTTAGCCAGGTAAAGGGGAAAAGAGCACTCCAGGCAGAGGGAGCATTCTGGACAAAGACGCAGACGGAGAAAAGATTTAGGTGCATTTAAGGACCTGCAAAGACCAATGTGTTTGAAGTACAGAGCATGTGGGGGATAATAAGATGAGGTGAGGTCAGAGAATTAGACCTGGCCTGGCTCACACAGGGCCTTGTCAGAGATTTAGATTTTACAGTAAGCACATCAAGCACCACTGATAGGTTTTAAGCAGTATCTGATTTGCAAACAATGCCACTCTGTGGAGAATGGACTACAGTAACAGTGGAAGCTACAGATGCTTTGAACTAAAATGGAAATATAAAGAAGTGGTCAGATTCCAGAGGTATTTTGGAGGTAAAATCAATAAGACTTAGTGATAGATTAGAAGAGAGGGGTTAGGGAAAGTTAATGATAATTTAAAGGTTTATGATATACCTAAGTGGGGAGACAGAAGTGTCACTTATTGAGGTGTGAAAGATGGGACAAGAATCAGATTTTAGAGGCAGTGGGAATATCAGGATCTCATGCATGAGAAGCTTGAGATGTCTGTGAGATATCCA